TACGTTGGTGGAAGAGATGGCTGGGCACACGGGGATGGGGGCTGGTTCCGAGGCAGAGGGCAGATTAGTGGCCCTCAGGTGAATCACTATCACTATCCACCACAGATGTCAGAGCCTCCCTGACAAACCCCTCAAAGTCACCATCACTGTCACTACCACTGACTTGGGCAGGCTGTGGTTGTGGTGGGTTGCGGGTGAAGAACTCGGTGATGTTACGCTGATGACTAGCGTTGATGTGGTCGTGATACATCTGGATATACGGCTCCACAGTTTGCAACAGATAGTTATTGGAGACTTCATATCAGTGATTTACTGAGTCTTTGGACAGGATGAGCTTGAGTCTCTCGGCATACTCGATGGCTTCCTTTACATCACCATGAGTTAACTTCTGTTGTTTTCGTTCTGCCGCACGACCTGCCTCCTCACTGACGTCTTCCAACATCTCGTCGGCAGTCACATCAGGTTCCCCGATTACCTCCAGGATGTCGTCGTTGGTGGTCTCGGAGAAGCCTGCAGCTGTAACAGACTGAGCCTCACCAGCCACAGGTTGCCTCTGCCTCCCACCTGGGATACCTTGCAACACATGCCGCCACGCGTTACGAATCGTTTCCACAGACAGCTGCCCCCATGCCTCTACCAAGAAATCAACAGCTTTCTTGACGTTAAACATTTTCCAAAACTGTTTTACTCGCACTTCATGCTCCGCCAACTCTTCTTCTGGATCCTCGTCCTCGCTCTCGCTATCTGTGCCACTCAGAAGGTTCCGCAACTCATCCTTGGTGTTGGTGTAGTCGTTCAGGAGCTTAAACTTCTTTGCGGAGAAAGCAGCCTTCACGTTGCATATCAACTCCTGGTCCATGGGCTGGATTAACGACGTAGTGTTGGGAGGAAGGAAGACCACTTTTACACTGGGGTGACAATCCTACAGTAGGGGCGAGTGTCCTGGTGCGTTGTCAAGGAGCAACAAAATGTTAAATGGAACATTATGTTGCTCGCAGAATTTCTTAACATCGGGAATGAAAATCGTCAAACCAGGAGAGGGACAGACCAGTGAACATCCACGCCTTACGTGCGGTTAGCCAGTGGACATTTAGCTTGGTCATGTCCATGTTTTCGTAGGCGTGCGGCTTGCGGGCTGTATGGATCACCGACAACTTGAGCTTACTGGTGCTGGAGGCATTGGTGGTGAACAGGACGGTGATGCGCTCCTTCTGCAACTTCCGGCCCCGACACTTGCTGGCAGACTTGACAACGAAGGTCTTGGAAGGTAATTTCTTCCAAAACAGCCCGGATTCATCCATGTTGAACACCTGGTCGTCGGTGTACTGTCCTTCCTCCATAATTTCTCGTAAGCATGGAGGAAAATCCATCGCCGCAGCACGGTCAGCACTCGCTCCTTCACCAACAATGTTAATGTTTGTGATCTTGTTGCATTTTTTAAACCCTTGCAGCCACCCAGCAGAAGCAGTGAAGGGTTTGGGCTCTGCAATTCCCATCCTTCGCGCCACCGATTGGTAGAGTTCACGGGCGCAGTCCTGCACTGCCCGCATGTCGACCGCCATGTTCCTTCTTGCCTGACGAATCAAGTAGCTCACCAATAAATTCTCAGTCTTGAGCAGCACCTTATTCTGACAATACTTCACCAATGAAGCACCTGCAGACTTTGTGATGCTCATGTGTTCTTTTATCTTGGCGGCATCCTTCTTGACTGTACGAATCGTAGATTCGTTAACTCCATGCTGGAGCACGAGATCAACTTGTTGGGTTCCCTTTTCTAATTCCTGAACGATTTTGTATTTTACTTCGTAACTTAGGGCGCGTCGTATCTTCTTGGGCTTGGTCCAGCTAATTCAAGGTTTTTCTGGGGTGGTGAGGGTCCAGCGGAAGCCATTGTTGAACAGATTAGCAGGAAACGAGAGAACAGTATACGCAGAGACTGAGAACAATGAGACTGGCCCGGCTAGGTCAGCGACTTCTTCCCTCCTGTGGCTGGGCACGTCATATTACATTAGACCAATCACAGCTAGCAGCGGAGGGAGGTAAGGATGCGTGGCCCAATCACAGTCTGATACATCATATGACGTCAACGATAACGCAACAGCGACATACTGCGCACCCTCCCCACGCCGCTTCCCGCATATGGGCAAGAATGTACCGCGTAACTAATAATTGGAGCGTCTGGACCTCTCGGGCCGCTCACCGCGTAAATGATGCAATGAACCGCGTAACTTAAAATTGTCATTCTGGCAAGGTGCCGCGTAAATGACCAAACACGTAAACAAAATCCGCGTAAATCAAGACTATATTGTACTGTATACCATATTGAATAAAAAAAACAATCAGGCAATTTACTGAATACCTATACACACCTGTAGAACCTTATTCACCTTTGAAAGTGACTACCAAATTACAGTACAGTATTGTATAGGATTAAATACCCATGGTTGCTCTTTTACTTACCCAACTTGTTTATTGAACAGCTTCAATGGAGGGAGGAAGCTCATGAGTTGTTCAAAGCGTCCCATTATTCATAGTTAATTTGTTTCAGTCTGTAGACTGTTTCACAAGTCGATTACTCTCAGAGAGAAGTTACTTCCTCGTGTCCATTCTGTGTGATAACTTGGCAAGCCTGAAATTGTGGCCTTTTTTTGTGAAACATGGACAGCTTAAAGAAATTACTGGGATTTATTATTATTTTTCATTTATTGGACAACGAATAAGGAACATAATACAGTATATTAGTTCAAATACCTATTACAGTATATGTCTGTCACAATTACACAATACAGAAAAAAAGATTTTACATACTTTAAAGTCATTAAAATTCTTTTGAAATACAGAACATAAATAGTTATAACTATTACAGAATACTGAGAATGGCTTTGAATCTTTTGGAAAACTTACTATTAATCATATTAATGATGGGAAATGACTACACATTAGATACATAAGAGATAAGGTATGCATATCTCCCTATTTCTCTCTGTGAACTAACTGGGTTTTTAATAAAATGACTGCTCTGTGAGTACACTAGAGGGGTGAGTGTACAGCACAGGCAACTGAAGCATTGTGTGGGTGGGGCATGAAAATCAATGAGGAAACTTATGAAATGCCTACTTATAGTGAACACAAGTGGTGTTTAAATTCCAAGGTGAACATCACTCATTTGTCACATCAAGAGTAACTTAAAGGAATGAATGTTCTTATTTATACGATATACCTCATATAAATGAGAATGGATATAAAGATAGTACAACACAAAATAAAAAATAACTAACAACAATTTAGTGTATACTGTACACACTTTCTTCAGCAGCATGAACTGGTGAACCAATTTAGACCAAAATATTTAATTGTACACTTTCATTCTACTTACATTACTTAATTTAGCATGAATGATAGCAGGATTTATGAGCAAAAAACTTAATAGGATTACTGAAGAATTATCGCAATTAAATTTCTCTGGCTCACATAAGACAATCAGAAAAAATATATATATTAACAGCTCAACCACTTTTATTATAGCTTCAAGGAAATTAGAGTTATAAGTAATGTACTGTATAGAGGATACAGTAATTATCATTAGCTTCACATCCGACACTGGACACTAACTCTGGCCAGCCCTGAAAATAGGTATGGTTGCTTGACTCCACCACACAACACAACTCCTTTTCTCTCAATGTTAACCTAATAAATTGTAGATATTCGTCCATAATAACATAAAAAAGAACTACACTGAAGGTATGTGAAGTACAGGAAATAAGGACAATGAAAATTACAATTTGCTAGATATCAGACATCTTGGCTGGCCTAGCAGGTGGTGTCATCTAACCCAGTGCTGCTAAATCAAATTAGAGAATGTTGCTAAATTGTTTCAAAATCACCAGGAAACCCCCAAATTTCTAACAAAAATATTGGTAATAACCACAATCGATGAAGTTATAAGAATTATATCATACACTGTATAGAAGCTGCATTGCCCGTAACAGACCATCAAGCCTATGTGACCCACTTTCACTTTTTGTTAAAATAAATAAATAAATAAATAAATACGTGAATAAATAACAAATATAAAAAATAAATAAAAAAGCACTTAGTTCTAAATATATTTCTAAGTTCTTTGCACAATGTGAGAATGCCTCAGTCACCATCAGCAACTCCTTCATCCTTCTCATTATTTTTTTTTATGAATTTAAAAAAAATCAATCCTCAAAACAACATTTTAGTAAAAATGACATGCAATGAGTGAGATGCAGCCCAAATTGAGGCAGTGGGTGAGGGTAGGCCCTCAAGCACCATGAATGGCCAAACTACAGTAAGTGGTGTGACTTAACCAAAACCTCTGATTGGCTTTCATGCTAATGTGGTTGGTGTGTAGAAGAGAGATACCCATCTCCATCTCCCAAGACATGCTTTTGTCTCACTGTGGAGAGCATTTATCATTTTCACTTTTACTTCTAGAGGTCAGTACAGTATAATGATATACAGGTAACTTCATGTTACAAGGAAATATACGGCAGCTAAGTGAAAATATGATATTGGGAAGTGGGAACTATGTAAAAACAACAAATGCCAACATTATAACTTACAGCCATGGCATGGTCTAGTGGCTCTGCCCAATAAAACAGATTTTATTTGGCTAATTGTTTAGTCCTACTCTGAAATATTGTACACATCAGAGGCACATAGCTTGGAAGCTCAAAATTCTTAACATAATCAGTAGTAAGAGTATTTTCATTTATAAATTTAATAGGTTTATGAGAGAAACACTGGCCCCAGAACACACCCCATTTTTCACTCAAGATTTTAAATAATATTTTTGTTGATTTCCTATCCAAAGAATTCACAAAGGCCACAATTCTTGAAGAAATCAATGGTATACTGAAATTATATTTTCTACAATCACAGTTATTTTACTCCATAAGATTTTTTTAATTAATGGGTATAATGATAGTGGAACATACAGAAAGTTACTATAACAGTACAGTACTGTACTACAGAAAAAAAAAAAAACAATTTGTACCCCTCAAATTCAAAATCACTTATAATTAGTAGAATCTCATAATTCATAAGGGCTAGAGCCCCTATTACCGTATTTTTATGATTTTTTTTTGCTGTAGTTCCTATTGTTAAAGCACAAAATTTAAAAAATGAAAATACTCTATTCAGAACTTAATAAAAGCAGCATTTAAGTAATGTGGAAATCTTATTAATCACTTTCTTACATTCAAAAAGAACTTACAATAAAGACATAATATTCCATCAGGTTTACTGACCATACTTACAATTACCTAATCTTGTCAACCCATTTATACATGAATAAAACCTTTTAAACCTATACTAATTTCTAATTGAAGAAAACATGAATGCCTTGGTCTGGTAAAATGTACTGTATGGGATTTAAAAAGTTTAGAGAATATATCAATGACAACTATGATAGTAAATACAGGTTAGGGACTTCAAAAAGCCACCGTAAGGTGATCATACCTTATATCAATACAGGGTATTAATAACTTATGGGGAAAAATAGGTTCCAACCCTGAGACCCTGAAGAGCCAGATTTATCACTTAGAGCGGTTATTTTTCAACTTGTAATTACGCGTACCGGTAGACATAACGCAATTTTTTTTTAACTCTGGCACACCCACCTCTCGTTTACGCGGGGGTTACGTTCTTGAAAACCGCTTAACTAAAAAATGCGTAAATTAAACCAAATTTTCCCATAAGAATACATGTAAATGGTACAGGTTAGGGGAACCATCATATACCATACAGGGTACGAACAGTGCTCTCACTTAAACCGCGCATGCGGCCAACATCCGACACACGCTCTCCTCTCTGAAGGCGGGTGATCACAATTAATTTCACGTCCATTGCGATTGTTTTTCGTGCCTTTTTAGCTTTAGGCATCCCAGAGGAGGCAGATGGACGTTTTCCAGACATGCTCAATGGGGAAACAGTGTTTAACACTAAAAAGGTATGTGATAAACACACAATGCAAATGAGAGCACAGAGAAAAAGGTGTGAATTAAGAAAACGATACACGGGAAGCTTGCTGGACGTGGTCACAGTTGTTGCACAGAATACCTGTACTTCATTATCATCATTATCTTCATCATTAGTAGTAATAATCTTTATTATTATATTATTATAATAATTAATATTATTAATAATAATATTAAAATCGTTGATGTTGATATGACTGCGACTTTATTGTAATAACTTATAAGCACCTCACCAGGCGTCACACGCGACTCCACTGCCAGGCGACCAGGCGAATATGCGCGGCAAATTTAAACTGTCTTGAGCGTGATATTTCAAAAATAGGTGCACGTAAATTAGCTTTTGGTATTAATTGAACAATCGTGTTATTCCAAAAATGCTTAAACCAAATGCGAGTTACCTGTACATGCAGACAATCTTTTACATAGAATATGCACAAATAAAAAACAAATATTATATAAAGTAAAAACAAAGGGAATACACATTTATTACGTCCATGGAAGTTAGCCCACAATCGTGGGAGGAGAGTGGAGACTGCCCTCCTGTCTCCTTAGTGAAACAATTGCTGAATAGCAATGCAGTATTCTTTCTTTTATTTTATTTACTATTATTATTTTTATTCATTCCTCACATTTACAGAGGAATACATTAGACTGAGAAGAGATAAAGATGCCACATTAATCCGCGTACACTCGAAATGGTATAGAGTAAAAACCGTGGATGCTCGGAATCCACATATGGTAACTCTGCGGTTGGCGAGGGTCTACTGTACTGTAATGTAATGCAATTGTTTATGTACATAGCAGTTTTAGATTTTGGCATAAAATCTTTTTGCCAATCATAAGAATACAAAAAAAGTAAATTAAAATCACTGAAAGCAGAGTGAATAATATTATTAATTACAAAACTTGTCTACCCAAATTATTTCCACTAAATACAAATACATAAAGAGAAAAATCCTTATGCTCAACAAACAACTGAATGAAAGTTTCCACACTGCTTCAAAAATTAACTGAAATTACTTCTCCCCATTAAATATATAAGGACTGATGCATGTAATGTTATTTTTCAATGCCTGTATCATATGATGGGTGATGTGCATGTGATGAACCAATGTCAATTTTGTTAATAATGCTTGAGTGATTTTTGGTGGTTACAGCAACTGGCTTTTGAATTTTCTTGTCAATTTGTGCATGTTTGTATTCAAGAAGCATGTGATTAGTGGGTGCTAGTCCAATGCAGGCACGTAATACATTTTCTATACAGCTTCGCTGGCGAAATAAGGAATTAATAACTGGAGTGCCACGTGGTACTAATGGTGCTTTACACAAGTAGCTCAGAACTGACAAAACAGTATTAAAGTTTTGGAAACAGGATTCGTGTTCCATCTTATACTGAATTCTCTCACACAGTTCAGCAAGAATGACAAGATCAACAATCAGAGGACTGGCAAGCAGAGAATCTTCACAGGTATTATGAACAACTATTGTGTTGGCCCCACCCATCATGATTTCAGATGAGTATTCATCCATGGCCCGTTTGCTGTCACCCACATGAGGTACATATTTGATGACTACACAGTGGTCTGGACCGACACCATCAGAGTAAAGCAACCTGTTGGATTCTATTATTTCAGCTACAACATTGCTCTTTGAGATCTGAAATAAAAAGCATTCATTAATTATATAAAACTGGAACAAACTTTAAACAGTACGCTCAAACTGAACTTATTGCAATATCTTATGCATAATTACCACTGAAAATGCAATATAAAATTATGTGAGTCTATTCAGACTTTATTTGATTGATAAGAAATACTGTACTGTACATATAAATGTACACTGAATTGAACTGAAAAATTTATTTCTCTGCATAATATTCATGTACTGTACACTGTTAAATGTTGTGCTGAATAAAATTACCTTAAAAAAATTAAAGACTGTACTAAAATTTCCTAATGAGCCACAAGATACACATAATGAATAAAAGTCCTCTTGGGAATAAAACAGTACTATACTGTACCTCTTTTGATCTGAAGGTCTGCGGAGCATTGAGATTTTTTCCATCGTTATTACCAAGGTGATTGTAACTGACAATTGACCTGGGCTTGATTCCTGCACTCACTAAAAAGTCCACCAAGACAGACTTAAGTTTAGTTTGGCCAGATTTGAAATCATCACCAGCAATGAACACCTGTTTTTTCTCTGCCAATTCAATACATCCAGGAACAAATGTGTTTTGTGGTGAACCATTGATGTAGGTAACCTGAAATTAAGTCAAATGATGTACATTAGTAACATTAGTGATGAGCTGTTTTCCTCAAAATTAAAATATTTAGACCAAGACACCTCAGCATTCAAACTAAGATGAATCTAAGTACCCTTAATATAAATTTACAATTAATCGCAGCATAATACTATAACAGATTTCTGGTGCTTTCATTTCTCTGTTACTGTAAATGCAAGCCACTTTTTATCACTCATTAAAGCATATTGGTATAGAGTATTCTATTTGTTACTTCACATATGAAGAATTCACCTTAAAATGCTGTTTTCTTGTGTAGCTCATAGCTAGGTGGCTCTAATAATACAAGCTACTACCTGGGGACTAGGATCTATCTTCTGCCCATATAATATGAGCCAGGATTGATTTGTAAAGCCATCTGGGCACACTGTATCAATCACCCTTCCCTAACCACTACACCATCTACCTTAAATGAGATGTAAAAATTATCCAATATGACTAGGAGGCCTTCTTTAAGTTGAACCTGACACATCAACATGTTCCATGCCATTGCCATGTCCTGCCATCTCTATGTTCAGGACCAATCTGTCATGCACATTCAATTGCAGTTGACAAATCAACTAACCTAAAGAAAGAAGCTGGTTGGCAATAAGTTCACCTTGAAAATAAAATATAAGGATCACACTTTCATTTTTGCAAACATTAAAGCCCGGAAGATCCTACAAGCAAAAGCCACATTGGCATGAGGGACGGGGCTGAAAGAATTATCATGAACAGAATTGCAACCCTAGTTAAGTAAACATTTGTTTTACTGTCATCTATTATGATCAGGAATGTATGAGTCACACTTTCCAGTACCATAGTTTTAAGGTATTATCCTGAAGCCTTTGGGAAAGAAGAGATGTCTGTAACCAGAGCCCCAACAATTAATGGATATTATTTTACTCTATCCTCTTTATCACTGGTCAGCTCTCTGGCCTGTCAGGTGGTTGGTCATTTATCTGTTATGCACTGTTGGCAAGTACTAGGCAAGCACTGGTTCCAGACTGTACCTGAACTTGTGCCAGTATTGGTCAAGTATCTTTTTATCCCATTGAGTGGTGGGAGTTTCTCTCAACCGAATAAAAAAAAAATCAGGCATTAGCCACAATAAAACATAGAAATATCCCTGTTAGCTGGAATCTTCAATCCCGGAACTTTCCAATACCCGGAAAATAAAATTTTAGCATTCTGAGAAAAATCTCTCCGATATGGGGATTTCAATGAAATTCCGAGCAATTGCACTACCATGCGCCAACACATGCCAAGTGTGTGGGTGGGTAAGCTTAGAGTGTTCATGCACTACAATTAGCTCCTTCTGTCATGTGACTGCATGGGATGCCTACAAATGCCTGATGTATCTTGCAGTATATCTCCTCAAACTCTAGCATCATGATATACATAATTCATTGCCTGCTGTCATTACACAAGCTTGTTCACTCACTCGCTACTGTTTTTACATATTATCTGTGTTGTGCAGTACTGTACTGTACAGATATCCCCCTATTTACAATGGGATCACTCCTTTGACCACCCCAGAAGACAATAGATATCTTCCTGTAAGGCTTCACAATCCATTTGGTTCTTAATTTCCCTGAATAACTTATTGTTATCCAAAAAAAATTGTTAGGAGGAAACATAACAGACAAAAAATAATGGTCCCAACACACTGCCCTGTGGCACTCCACTTGTCATGGGTACACAACAATTTCATAGCATCAATCACCACATATAATGCTTGTAGTCATGAAGGAAGCCTATAATCCATGCCAGGACATTCCCCAAATTCTATACCCTTCCAAATCAATTTTTGGCCTTTCATAAGCTATGCTATCAAATGAGCCTTGAAAAAGTCAAGGTACATATTGTCAATATTGCCACCATGCTTTAGGATCTGTGTCCATGCATCATGTAGGAGTGCCCGAGCATAAAACCGTGTTGGCATTCCATTGCAGATGTTCCATCATGGCATTGAGTATAATGCTCTCTAGTACTTTACACACTATGTTGGTCAAACTCATCATGATGCACACTATCAGGGACAAGGCTCTTACTAACCTTGAGCTTTGACACTTTGGTTCTGAGAACTTGATGTGCACTAGTGCTGTGTCTAACCACATCTCCTCAGAATTAGAGACGTTTGCATCCTCTCTTGCAATCACTGTGGATTAGTCTTTATTTAATGCCTAAGCTTTGTCCTGATTGGAGTCCACATAGTTACTACCTCCAAGTCTAAGAACTGATACGTCTACACGTCTTTGATTTTGATTGTGTGTAACAGTATTAAGCTTTAGGCTTTGGCTTGGCCTCAATTGCAATCTGCCTCTGAAATCCTTAGACTATTGGAATTCCCTAATGAAAATGAGCATTTGTGAGAGTGGTCACAGTCCTGGAACCAAAACTACCCATCCCAGCATATGGCTATTTCAGACACAGAAAGGTAAGTATATAATGTCAACAAACCTTATGAGACAATAATTGTGAGAGATATATCAATTTGATCAGTATACTTGCATAACACCAAGAAATGTAGTAGTGTTGCAAAATGGCTCTAACACTTCTGTAGAAGCAGCCAGCAGTGAGGTGGTAGCCAGTCTGTGGCCCCACTCTAAATGGTAGTCAGCAAAATACTAAAACGTGAGTAATGGTTTGCTAGTGCATTCTAAAGATGGCAGATGAAACACTTTACCCTCTTTGCCACTGATCAGCCTATTAGCAGCATGGGCGGTTGGTTACATCTCTTGTTATGCATTGTTGGCAAGTACCAGGCATGTACTGGGTCCAGAAAGTACCAGTGTCTGTACCTGCAGCAATATTGGTCAAGTTTGGTCTCGAATGAGCTCACGTTCAGTGCTATCACAACATATTCTAGCAGATTGTTCCAAAAGTTCACAACTCTCACTCCAAAAAATTTGCCATGACAGTTTTCTGAACTTGTGGCCTTTCAACCTTAAACTGTGACCCTTAGTGAGGTGGGCATTTGCCAGTTCCAGGTGTGAAAAATGCTGAGAGGATGCATTCAGCTCACAAAAGACCTTCTAGCTCCTACAAAGCAACTGTTGTGCCTCATGTCCACACTCACTTGAGGTGCATGGCTTGATGGGGAGAGGCGATTGGCATACCCAAACCACTCAAATCAATCTAAGCTTACATTATGGGGTTCAGAATGTAGATCCTAAGCCCTCCAGTAAGCAACCTGTATTATGAAAGCCATCAAGCTTTAGGACATACAGTATGCTGGAAAGCATGAGTACAGGAAATTATTTTACCATTTTACATAATTTACTACATACTGTATTCATGAATCAATAATTGTCTTACCCCTTCAAGAATACTGGCGACTGCAAATAATGTTGATGGTGAGATCTCACTTTCATTATTTTCAATGCTTTTCAGCAGACTTTCTGCACTACCGTTGATTTCTGGAATAATGTCGCAGTATCTTTCTGTATTCGCTGTCCACAACACTATGATCTTATCTACCCTGCTAGTTTCCTTAAAATCTCTGATATCATTCCTGATCTTATTTAACTGTTCTTGCTTTGTCCCAGTTAAAACATTGTCAGCACGATCAGCTTGATTAGCTGCAATGAAATCTGGGATGTACACTGATGGACGAGGCTTCATTGTTTTCATGTAAGGTTTTAACTGAACCTGCAGGTTATAATCAAGCACTCTGGCACGCTCCATGGCATCATCTAGATTTAATGAGGAGATGTCCCAACCTGAAAATGTTTAAACAGGTGATACATTTGAAGATATTGAGTTTGTAAAAGTTAAATTTTTATAATTATCCTTTAAAATCCGATATTAGTGTATGGTAAGTACTAATAATACAACAGTAGCAACACTTATTTGAAAATCTGTTCAGCAGTGACAGGCCCCTAATTCAATACCCAAAAAATTAACTAAGAATATCATACCATCAATAACAATGTCATTTGGATCCACCATGGGTAGTAGGTTCTTCAAGGGGACATACACTTCCCCTTCTGGTCCATTTCCTAGGCAGACAGTGCTTGCCTGAGTTATGGAACCTGTTAAATAATCAATAACAAGTTTAAATTTATATACTGTTTATAACTATTTATCTCAAGTTACCAAAATCATTTATACCATGAATAGTTATTCACCAAACTTGTTTTAACAAATAATAATATCATACAGTATTATGGTAATTAAGATTGAACTGTTAATCTTTGTTTCGCTAATGAAATACAGGTACTGTAATATTCAAAGACTGCCATTATCTACATCCATTTTTCTCTCACAAAAACTGCACACATAACACACAAAGAAATTTTTACAACTTAAATTTAACATGTACAAAGTAAGGTCGCGAAGGGAGGGTCTGCTAACTTCTGTAATTATCCATACATCACCTGATGTACTGGGAGGGTTGATATGTGAGCACAACCTTAAGCAAGGACAGCAGGGCTACCACCATAATACAGGACCAACATGCATATTCCACTATCCCTCGTCCGTGGTGTCATTTTGTTTCGCACATAATCCGTGAGGTACTTTTTTTTACTGTGTGCACAGTATAGCTACTTAATTTAACAAAATTTTCATTGAATTAAATCCAGATATTTATACTATATCTTACCTAGGTAGTTTGCCTCCTTGATGCCATCCTTCGTTTTCCAGGTGAGTTTGTGTTTGTTTGCAAGAATGGCAGCTGTGAGTGTTGTACCATTATTGCCTCCAAGACCCACAAGCAACAGTCCTAATTTTGGTACCTGAAGTAGAGAAAGCACCTGTGTAATTCTGCTGTTTACTCTAGCATCCATAACATTATCTTGTTTGTTTGGAGAATTTTCATTACAGCTTTGATTTAATATAAATATATACAATGGAGGAATAATAAGTACTTGTTTGCCTCAGCCCCTTCAGCAATTTAAGGAACTGTCACTGTCTTATGTATGGTTATACAGGTAGTAAAATTAAATCACTGAGTGTAAGTTCAATTTATAAGAGTAAAAAGAAATTAAAAATAGAAAATAAAAAGATTATTTTAATCTACACCACGAAAATGCCGGAAAGCCAACTTTTTTATGCGAGACAGATTGTATGAGTATGGAAACACAGAAGAAGGCAGAGCATTCCACAGTTTGGCTGTGTGAGGAAAGAAGGATGTACTATAATGGGTTATTCTAGTGTGGCTGACAGCCACAGAGAAACTGTAAGCACCGCGAGCAAGACGAGTGTTACGAGCCCACGGCCTTGCCGGCGGTACACGGGATGCCAAATCAACTGAACATTGCCTGTTAAAGTACCTGTAAAAGAGAGAGAGAGAGAGAGAGAGAGAGTGAAGCAACATTACAGCGAAGAGAAAGGGAAGAAAGATTATCAAATAAAGGAGGAGAGTCAATAAGACAAAATGTCTTTGATTGCACCCTATCTAACAGTTGGACAAAGAGCCACCCCAGATATGAGAGCAGTACTCCAAGTTAGAACGAATGAATCCCTTATAAACTTGACTGCCACACTCCTCCCTCAATGTACAGTACTGAACTATAAAAACTGGTGATACTGTACTTGAATAATTTCAAAAAAAATTCTCTGTTAACTTCAGTTATATTCATAAAAGACAAATGTCTTAACAAACAAACAATGAATATAATTTACATTACACGGTACCTTTCTCATAGTTTTGAATGTGTACTTTGTAATAGTTGGTGTTGCAATCATCATCCCTTTGCTATCTGTCCACACATTTGTATTTGTGTAGTTATAATCTGCCTCAATATACTCTGGTGTATATCTCACGGCTGGGCTCTCTACCTTGATATGGGCATCCATATTCTCTCTGGAAAAAAAAAAATACATAAATAAAAATAAAGATATCAGTGACTTGTGATTACCAAAACCTTTGAACATCTTCATATCAAAATTTTACGGCCATTTTCCATGCTTGCGTGGGTTAGCCACTATTACCTGATGGCAGCTCTCCATACTGCGTTGTCTCTTTCAGTCTTGTCAGGTTCCTAACTCTACTGTAATGTCATTTCTTACAAGCTCTTCCCAAGTCATTCTTGGTCTACCCCTGGATCTCCCCCTCCACATTTAGACTCTTGCACGTCTTGACGTAACAAACCGCCCAAGCAGCTAATGAACCTATCAGTGGCGAAGAGGATAAAAGTAACAGGAAAAAAGTATTGATCTCATCCATTCCCTCCACTTGACCAAACCATCTCAGCCTGCCTCGATGCAAGACTTCACCAAAACAGTACTCTCAATACCCAGTCACTCTCTTAGCTCTGAACAGGGCCTCATGACATTCAGTGTCACATTGGACATCCACCTCACCAGAAGCATATCAGGTCATGCAAGTCTACTTAGGTCATCCTCTTTAACTGCTATGTTTCACTGCCATACAACTTCACACTTCTCACAAAAGCCACATACGTACATTTTTCCTTTCACTTGAAAGGAAGGTCCTCTTGCCATCAATAAAGGCAGTTCCCTGAACTTCCTCTTGGCAACAGCTTCCTAAACTTCTCACGTCAACAATTAACATAAATTACACCATTATGCTTCAACAAAGTTGCTTTCACTGGTACCAGATATCAAAATAAGTACTTTCTGTTTAATATGGCAGGGGTCCAGAGCCCCCAGCTAGGAAGTTAGGTAAGGTGGTAAAATTGCAGTTTCACTACCAATTGTTTTTTTACAAGAAATCTGGGTTCTTCCCATGGTATTTGGTGTGATTCATTCGAATTTCACTTTCATTTCCGTCGGAAATGAGTTGTTTGTGAATTATTAAGTTCTACTAACTGTCGTCTCTTTTAAAATACTGTACTATAAGAACATCTGTAGAAAAAATTAAAGAAATAGAACAACTCCTGGAGGTGCCGGTGTTCTCATAAATTACTACAGCATATATATACAGTATATATATATATATATATATATATATATATATATATATATATATATATATATATATATATATATATATATATATATATATATATATATATATATATATATATATATATATATATATATATATATATATATATATATATATATATATATATATATATATATATATATATATATATATATATATATTATATATCATGTAGATCCACAATGAAAACGTGGGATAAATCTTGATAAAAATTTTAGCTTTCGTCTTTATTCAAGATGTCTTGAATAAAGACGAAAGCCGTTACTTTCCGTGTGATTTTATCAAATATATATATATATATATATATATATATATATATATATATATATATATATATATATATATATATATATATATATATGATATTTTTTCGTAAATTCACTGTATAATGTTATTTATTAAAAAAATACGTTATGATTGTTGGCGGTTATCTACAAAACACGTGATTTCCGGTAGAAATGAATATCAAATTCGTTCGAAACTCATCAAAATGCATAGGAAAACCCTTGTTTTACTGTCGAAATAAAGAGGGTGTGATATATATGTTACAAGAGGTATAGGGTAAGGTAAATTTAGCTCTTGAATCTTGCATGAATTGTGTTCTGCCGGCAAGTGAATATCTTCCACCTTTAAGGAATCTTGTATAAATTTTCAATTATGAATTACCTTGAGATCTCAAGCTATAATATTTGATATATTTCTATATTGGATTTATGTGATGCCAGCTTAAAAATACTGATAAACCAATTTTCTGTTTAGCGTCACCCACCTCAGTAACAGAAACTTGTTTACTTGCAGACGATGTCTTCCTAATAACCGAAAACAAACTAAAACAAATAACAAATAGGAAGATCATGAATTAACATCAGCATTCATTCGGCGATACATGTAAAACTGTGTATGTAACATAAATTCTTAAAACGAAATATTATACTTCAACTGAAGAAATATAAAGACAGCATTCAACATGTATAATTTATATTTGTGTTGGAAAACGTAGATATTTTTTATCTTCCCCAAATTAACATGCCATATAAGAAATTCATATAAAAGCTTAAAATTGGTATGTAAGATCAAGGTTAGGTTTTTTTAGAACACTATTTCGAGTCAGGACAAGGTTGCTGGCAAAAAGGAGATACTGTCAGTTGGTTGAAAGGGGCGCTGGTGGTAGAGCGGTACTGTAGTGGATTCCTCCCCTACAAGCACCGAACCTTCTCGAATTCCCCAGCCTACGCCTCCAGCGCCGCCCACGGAGCGGGGGTCAACTATCTACCCACGCCTACCCCTGCCTTATAAGACCTGACACCGCTGTGACCAGCTCTCTTTCTACCCAGTGCCACCAGCAAGCAACACCTCTTCCGCGCCAGCCGTGCGGCTGCCGCTCCCGCCAGCGACCTTGGCGTCCCTCAAGCCGCGTGCCCTCACTCTGGGCACCCTCACCACCCAGCTCTCTCTACTCAACTCTTATTACCATGCTACCTACCCAGCAACAAACTGCATTGTACATCCAATACAATATGTATACAGTGAGCACATTGTGAGTTTCCTTTCTCCATCCCATCCTGAGTGTGAACCAATATTGTAGGGGTATGAGATGTTGGTTCACACTCGCTGGTTGACCTAGACCACAAGGCATACACTGGGGAATTGGTGGGGTCGGCTACTCAGCGACAAACAGCGTTTGTAGGGAAGAAATCCACTACAAGGTGAAACGCAGAAGCACTTACAGCGCCCAACAGGGAAACATGCTAAGTTCATGTTTGCCTTATGTCTCATGAGTTAAGGGCGTAGAAGCCTGAAGAGTCAATGGTTTATGTCTAAGCAAGTTATTGGAAGCTCCAACAACTTGTCCCTGAATACGAATTCGCAACTTTCGATTTACTGCAGGTACCTACTTTGCTGCTAGGTGAACAGGGACCAAGGGTACTAGGAAGAGTGTCCAAACAACGTCCGCCGGCCCGGGAATCGAACCCGTAACATCATGCTTGCGAGTCAAGAGGAGTCAAGAGCGGTACTGTAGGGGTATGGAGAAATTGGTTCACACTCGGGATGGAATGGAGAAAGGAAACTCACAATGTGCTCACTGTATACATATTGTATTGGATGAACAATGCAGCTTGTTGCTGGGTAGGAAGCACCGAACCTTCTCAATTCCCCATCCTACGCCTCCAGCGCCGCCCACGGAGCGGGGGTCAACTATCTACCCATGCCTACCCCCGCCTTATAAGGCCTGACACTGCTGTGACCACCCGCTTTACTACCCAGTGCCACCAGCAAGCAACACCTCCTCCGCGCCAGCCGTGCGGCTGCCGCTCCCGCCAGCGACCTTGGCGTCCCTCAAGCCGCGTGCCCTCACTCTGGGCACCCTCACCACCCAGCTCTCTCTACTCAACGCTTATTACCATGCTACCTACCCAGCAACAAGCTGCATTGTACATCCAATACAATATGTATACAGTGAGTACACTGTGAGTTTCCTTTCTCCACCCCATCTTGAGTGTGAACCAACATCTCATACCCCTACAAATGGTGACCCCCGGAGATTCGCACTCACACAGGATAGAGGAGAAACTGATCACTCTCCCAGTCTTCAAGCAACATGGAAGACTGGCTTACCCACGCAGAGGCAGCTCTCATCGGCTCTACAGCTACTGTCTCTACACCGCAGGTTAGACACCCTAGAGCAGCTCTGCTACTCTAAGCAGACAGCCGCTCCTCTTCCTGCCCCAAGCACAACCTCCTACAGACCCCAACACACCCGTCCTGCCTCAGACGCCGCCCCTGGCCCAGCAGTACCCCCCTGCCGCTCCTACTGACGCGGCCCCTGCTCCTGACGCAGACCCACACACCCCTCTTTTCTCCCTCAGGTACCTCCTGCTACTGTCCTGCACCCTGCTGCTGTCGTGGACCCTGCTGCTGTCATGCACCCTGCTGCTGTCATGGACACACTTCCTGACGCAGCCCCTGCTCCTGACCCAGGCCCACACACCCCAGCAGGCGCATCTGACGACTCTGTACCTGTCGCGAGGGAAGCACAACATTCATCGCCTCCACAACCCTCTTTCTCCCTCTTTTCTCCCACAGATCCCATGTATCTAGACAGAGTTGACCCCCCCCCTAGCGGCCGGCTCATCCACGCCCTCGCCGTTATATCCCACATGTGGCATGCACCGCCCATTCTGCCTCACATGTGGTACGCAACTCTGCCAACCTCCAGCCTCCCGCCGCGCCCGGAGGGGAAGGGGAGTATTGTAGTGTATTCCTTCCCTTACAAGCACCGAACCTTCTCGAATCCCCCAGCCTACTCCTCCAGTGCCGCCCACGGAGCGGGGGTCAACTATCTACCCACGCCTACCCCCGCCTTATAAGGCCTGACACCGCTGAGACCATCCTCTTCCTCTTTTCTACCCAGTGCCACCAGCAAGCAACACCTCCTCCTCCGCGCCAGCCGTGCGGCTGCCGCTCCCGCCACCGACCTTGGCGTCCCTCAAGCAGCGTGCCCTCACTCTGGGCACCCTCACCACCCAGCTCTCTCTACTCAACTCTTATTACCATGCTACCTACCCAGCAACAAGCTGCATTGTACATCCAATACAATATGTATACAGTGAGCACATTGTGAGTTTCCTTTCTCCATCCCATCCTGAGTGTGAACCAACATCTCATACCCCTACAACTTCCCCGAGTCTTGGACAGCATTCTCCGATCTACAGTGAAAACAAATTGCTGGTATAGTACTAACAACAGAGTTAGGCCAGTACAGTATAGAATTTACACTTGCTTTCATTTGCTACAACTTTATCATACCTGTGCCAGATTGTTACATTTTATTTCATTAACTAATCCCTAGCTTCATTTTTTTCTTAAACAGCATTTATATCTCATTGTAGTGGATTCAGATTAATTGTCTGTCATGGGAGTATTTGTTGTACCTGAATCAACTAGGCACAGCTGTCTTTAGGTTACCCTAAGTAGTATACCCTCTCTCTGGTGTTTTGGGAGTTGGCATTTGACCACTGAGATTTGATATTGCTTGATATTGATTTTGTGTCATCTTGTTGGACCTTCAGTCCTTACTCAGCCACTTCCAAACATCTTATTATTATTGTTATTTATTTTATTTTGTGTACACATGTGGTGGTGGGAATAAGTTAATAAATGTTCATATATTTATTGACTTGTTTAGGTTTTGACCTGTTAACTTGGCCTATGTTGGGGGAACTTAGGATTAATAATATAATAAATAATACTGATATATTTGAAAGACTAAAGTGATTTGTTAAATGTTCATATTTTATTGACTTGTTTAGGTTTTGACCTGTTAACTTGACCTTTGTTGGGAGAACTTAGGATTAAGGATATACTAATAAACCGTTATATATTTGAAAGACTGAAGTAATGTGTGTTTATGTAATGACCTACATTAGGGTCGTAACATAAATACTGTCTACGCAACTTTTGTCTGTGCATAAGCAGCTTTGTTTTCAGTGTACATTATTTAATTAATACAAAACTCAAATATTCTCATTGCAGTGTAAGGGGCACTGATAACACCTACAGTACACTAAAATTGCCTTGGGTCATTTCTAAAATTTAGTGTTGAAGGTAGAGATCTTGAAATATAACTTTACTGTAGTTATTGATAAACAATCCTCTTCAACTAAGATAATTACATTTACTGAATTCCTAAGATAGTATTGTTGAAATTTTCAGTTCATTGTTAGCTGCTGCATTATTTTTTTGGGGGTAACGATGTAAGGGCGCGTGTTTTCCACCACCACCCTTATCTTACTTACTTCTCGTCTTAGTTCTTACTCAGTTCCTTCACATGCACTTTTTACTTACTTCATTGGTTACTGCCTAACCTTAGTTCTTTTTGGTAGCATGGACGAGGGTCTAGGCACATGGGTATGGTAATTCTGGTATCAAGTCACTTGGACGGAAATAAAGGTAAAATACTGTGGGATAAATGAATACTGCTAAAATACTCTACGAACAAATTTATTAATAAGAAATCAAAGGGAAAAAGAGATATTATTAACATATAACTACCAGGCTCAACTCCTGGGCTTATTGCAGACTCGGTACTTTCTTCTTTACTTACTTGCTTATTTACTTATTTTCTTATTTCTTTACTCAACAGTAATTACTCAGATCTTACACTCTTACTGCACACAACCTTACTGGTGTTACATTACATTGCATAGCAGGACCAGTTCCTTGGCCCTACTCACAATACATAGTATATGGCACTCCTTGTAGATTACTTTACTTCTCACACCTACTGGTGGTACGTGGCATTACAGTACAGTTACAAGACTTTACTCCTAGTCCCAAGTGGACAACTTTACTTCTCACACATTACAAGGTATTTTACACAACTTACTGACTGTGGTAGTGCATATGAGATGCAATCACAACATACAGGTTAATACAGAAACCAGTAGATACATGGATCCACTACCCAACATGGGATAATTATTTCTAACTAATTATCCCCAACATACACATTACAATACACTCTGTGGACATATAACTTACAGGGAGTATCCCAGGATAGCTCACTGGGGCTCACGACCGTTGGTGTGATCGGTGGTAGCCAGACAACGACGTGTCCTCCAAATATTACGTATTAAGTAATTATTAGATGTTTTAATTGCCTGTATGTTGGCCTGGCGAGTTATTGCTAGGCATTAACATACCCAAGTATAAAGCTAGACGTTGCATTCTGGATTGAACAAAAATATATATTCCATCCCTCAAAAATTAATTGTAATAAGTACACTCTGCTGTATGAAGTTGAACAGCAGTAAAGTTGGTTAATGTAAATATTATACCTAATTATCCTCTTTGCTGTGGCCCCTTGTGGGGCAGACATCCGCCAGCTTTCGTATGGACACTCGACTGAATGGTGCCCTCCGAGATGTTCATACAGAGGGTGCTACTCAGTAGTGTGCCCATACCTGGAGCTGGCAGATGTCCACACCACAAGAGACACACAGCTCAAGGTTGAAGAAGCAATAAGTCCAGAAAACTGTGATGACAAACTTTTTCGGAGGGAGAATTGTGAACAATATACCAGTGTGTTGTGACGGCACTGTGGTGGTAAATAATGGAAATTTAGTTACAGTAGTCGAACATGAATTATTATTGTCCTGGTACATCACCCAAATCTTTTATCTTGTGGTTGATCATAAAATCTTTTTTCATAGTAAACCATGAAAATGTTTTCCTCACAGTAGATAAACTTAAAATCTTGTGTGGTAAACCATGAAAATATTTTCTTCACAGATTGCACACTTAAAATCGTATTAGATATTGGAAAAGTAAACATTTTGCCAAGATAGATCATAAGATCATACATGTTTTATGATTGTGGCAAGCCGAGAAGGTAAGGTGACAAAGAGTCTGTGAAGTTCCAGGTTGATTAATGTTCTTCAAAGTTCATCATGAACATGTGTCTGGCTTTCACCTGCAAGATTCATAATTACATTAAGACCACAAGCATTACATTCACATAAAAATACACTCAATATGCAACTCAATCTTGATTGCTGATACTGTATCATACTGTGCCTTTAAATCACAGTACATTCCTTTAAGAAAAATGAAGTCAATCAATCATCAAGAACCTAGAAATATTTTTATGAAAGGTATAACCTAACAGTGAGAAGCATTATGAATTTGAAAGAAAGTAAAACTGGACTACATAAAAAAGCCTGGACCACTGACCTTACTGCAAGTATGAGCTCAATGGTGACACTCCCTTGTTTACATATGGCTTGTGCCATTACTTAAAGCTTAGTACTTTAGTTCTCTCAGTATTTAATGGTAACAGTATGAAAACAGGCAATAATTTAAAAAAGCAATGGCACGATCAAGATCATAAAACCATTGTAAAATAACTCTAGACAAAGAGTTAGGCCAATTATATAAGATTGATGCCAGTAAGTTTTAAGTTGAAGCGATGCATCTTCATGGTACAAAGAAGACACAATATTATCACATTCAAGAGCAGAAAGACACTATCTCTTAAGTGCATTATATTCTATAATCAATCATGGGAAAGATAATTCAATGAAAATATTGGATAAATGTATTGCTAAGTACTGTGTATACTTATACATCAATACCTTGTACAGGTACTGTTTAAACCATCTAAAAGTGAACTCCACTTACTAACCACTCAACACACAAGATTAAACTGTACAGTACTGTAATAGCAACAACATATTGGGTAAAACATTAAATCTCCACCAATAACTTTCAGTTGGGGAAGACTTTATGAAACTAACTTACAATACAGGGTACTAGTCGCCTTTTGCTTTACCTTGGTGGTGGTGTGCATTAAGGTCAGCCTCCATCTCAAGTATAAGATGGTCTTCTGAATCACGGTCCTGGTCCTCGAGCATAAACTTAAGGTAATCAAACCCGGGAAGGCGAGGTTTCCACTCTCGCTTTGGTAGTTCATCTAATTAAGAAAATGAAAAGTGTCTATTATGATTTGTGCATAATGCCATGCAATTGCATCTAACTATAGGGTAACTTCCAAAATTAACTCAGTCAAATAAATTTACAAAATTAAATTCATTAAGAACTTTGGGCTATAATACTCCAAATTAGTGCAATACAGTAGATCCTCGATAGTTTGAATTGCTTGGGACCAAAGGAGATTTGGATTGCTGTGAGAATAATTATTATAGAATAAAAATACTTATATTACCCAGTACTTCCCTTTTATATTATAATGACAGTGATATTCAGATTGGAGCTCACAAATAACTGAACATGTGGATGAGACAGGCTGGTACTATACCGAATGTAAATATTTCTCACCTGGGCACTGAACATTTTATGGGTTAGCAGTTTAAAATGAAGGTTGAATATGCAATGCCAACTTGCTAATAGACTACAGATATGTACAGTCCGGTAGTTTGCAAATTTTAAAATATGGGTTACATACTGTATCAATAACCCCGAGAGACTTCACCTATTCCCCTGTATAAAGATCAATCAGCATAGTAAGCAAACACAAGAGCCAACAACTAGGAGTGGGCACAGGTTAGCTCACCCAAATCTGCAAATTAATGTTATCTTTCCACCACTCTAAAGAATCAAGAGAAACAATAGGTTAGCTCAGGTTGTCATGAAACATGCATCAATGAATTTGAAATTTTGAACTATGAACACAATTCAGACCCCAAAACTCGTAATGTGGCCTTCTTTGGGTTGAATTTAACTGATCCTGCTAAATAGGAGTAGTGTACAGAGTTAATAGTTACTCCTGTTTCAGTTTATGTTCTGAGTGGCAAGCTATGGAGAAAAAGTAAATACAGTGATATTTGATCTTAAAAGTATGCTTTCCTTATGTACAAGTGAAAATCCATTTTTTTTTGTAGGAACAAGACAAAAATGAGTTAATTTTGTTGGTAAGATGAACTACATGAACTTACTAGAAGGTGAAAGGTGTCCAGCCCTAAGTTTTCTGAGCCAATCTCTGATGGTTGATTCGGAGATGTCAACATCTGCAAAGTCTGGAAAGATGTAAACTGTGCCCTTTTTCTGATTCACACCCACAAGAGACCTCACATCAGGGGTTAGTCCATAGACAGGGAGAATTTCATCTGCCAGGGGTTCATCACTGGGCAAAAAGCAATGCTCCATTAGTATACACTACAATATTTAGATATTTTATGAAGTATGTAAAAGCAGATTCTTCATTCAGTCAATTAGTTTTTTTAAATACCGTGAATTGAAATTATGTAAAAACCTTAACAAAATGATGAAAAATAAGTAACACTGCCCTCGTTTGATTAAATCCTTACCATAACAACCAGGAAAATATAAATCCAGGTTCTGATAACTGTGCTCCTAAATGACCAATCATAGTCCATATATCATCATAGGTGTTTGATTGAGGAACATTTGTAACTACATTATTCTTTTTCCTGCCTTCTTGAGCTTGTTGAGAAGTATATCTTCTTGAATCTACTTCAACCCCATTTGGACTTAACGAGGAATTGGCTGGTAGGAAGAGTATTATGAGGTGCTGGTCAGAAGCAGCAGAGTGCTCCTCCTTATCTTCTATGACTCCTGCTTGTAAAGCTGAGAATCGCTCCGGATCCAGTGGAGCCTACAACAGAGATATGTTATACAGTATGTATAATCTAATCCCTCATTTTCATGTTATGTACAAGACATGTTAATAGGGCAATTTTTTAAATATAACCACAAAGCATATAATAATTATATAAAGTAATTCAGATACAGTACTTTAAAAAAATTAAAATAACCAGAAATTACCAGCATTACATGTTAAAAGAAATGTGACAAGACCACACAAAGAGAATATATACAGTACAGTAATCCCTTGTTATTTGTGAGGAATGGGTTAAAAGGAATGACATGAATAGGCAAAACCGCAAACAGCAACTTATACTACCTTAGTGCACTACTGTATACCTATAACAAACAACCGACCAGCCGCAGCAGCACTCGTCCCCTCTTTTAACTTCTCTAATAATTCAACTTTGTCAGGGTCATCACTGACTTCTGCCTTTCACATTTCACTCCACTAGCACTAACACTAGGCAGTCTTTTAGGGGCCATTTCACACGAAACACTAAAGTTTTGAGAGTACAACACAAGATGCTGCGTGGGGTGACTTGTTGTGCTGCGGGAAAAGGCTCACAAGCTAGCCACCATCTGCTTACCGTGAATAATTGACATCGCAAATTGCAAACCCGCAAAGGTCTACTGTAACTATAAATTAACAAAAAGGCCTCCAAAAATAGCAGTTGTCAAAACCAGCAGTAGGAGCTGAACATATCTAACAAAGCAAGGGGTAGGAGTAGGATTGGTAGAAGCATTAAAATACTGTACAGTACTGTACTTGGGAATCCATTTTTCGTCTGAGTACATGACCTAGATGTTGTGTTAAGAAGTTAAACATATTGTGAAGTCCAATAGCACGTATCCATATGCTTCATTATGGATTCATACTTAATTTTAAAATTTAATAGTGACAGACTGTCAGCAATAGTGGTGATGGAAATCTACTATAGCTCATTAAAACCATCAGAAAATAATAAAAAAGCAACAAATATTTATTAAAACCAATGAAAAAATGTAAAAAAAAAAAAAAAAACCATTGGTTAAAATTAGCCAACCCTATTCCTAACATCAGATATCATTGTAACATACAGTAAATATCTTAAGATTTTATAAATGTCTGAGGCCAGACAGGTATTTCTATGTACTGTATATATTAATAGGATATGAAGTAGATATAAAGACAAACTCCAATTTACAAGAGTTCCATTCCTGAAAAACCTCTAGAAAATCAAATTTTCATAAATTGATGCATTTTCCCAGATTCCCAATATAAAAGTTTAAATATATTCCCAAGAAGAATGAACGAAAGAAAAATATATAAATGCCATGAATGTTAACAAGCTTTGAAATCTGAGGTAATATTTGCTATTTACACTTTTAATGAAGAGAGAGAGAGAACTGACCAACACAGGGAGTGAAGCATGACGTATGAAGTTGGTTATAACTTCTGGCTGGTCAACCTCCTTACTGAGTACTCGTCTGGGCTGAAATTTGTCAGTAGGCTTGGATACCACCACACACCCTTGGCTTGTTGTACACCTTTACAATAACCAAAGAGAAAAATAATTAAAAAAAAATAATTATTCTACCCACCCTATGACAGAATGTACTGTACCTTGCACTCGGTATGTTTGGTCAAATCTTCATTTAGAACATGAGAAATTGATATTAGTTTGAATTTGTGTTAGAAAATGGAAGATAACTACAGTAGACACTTGTTATTCATGAGTTTGTGATTCGCAATTTCGACGATTCGCAGTAAGCAGATGGTGGCTAGCTTGTAAGCTTTTCCCGCAGCACAACAAGTCACCCCACGCAGCATCTCATGTTGCACTCTCAAAACTTTAGGGTTTCTGTGTGAAATGGCCCCTAAAGGACTGCCTAGTGTCAGTGCTAGTCGTGCTAGTGGAATGAAATGTAAAAGGCAGAAGTCAGTGATGACCCTAACAAAGAAAGTTTTATCATTAGATAAGTTAAAAGAGGGGATGAGTGCTGCCGCAGCTGGTCAGTTGTTTGGTACAGTATAGGTACACAGTAGTGCACTAAGGTAGTATAAGTTGCCATTCGTGGTTTTGCCAATTCGCACCATTTCTTGGAACCTATCCCTCGCGAATGGCAAGGGTCTACTGTATTGTACTATATATGAGCATCCCATAGGTTATATATAGTAAAAACAATATTAGAGATATAAATTCTACTTTAAAATGACTGAAATGTGAATGCATTGTTTTCAAGAGACATCTTATATAAAATGAACAGGGTTTTATTTAAAAATGACTACCTGTAATGGTTAACACACAAACCTATATGCTTGTGTTCTACAAAAAATTTCCATGGTACTGTAATTTTACAGTTGACCACGGTCATACAATATCTTCTCTCATAAGGGTAGTCACTTAGTGTTCATCATCACTTAAAAATACACTTTAAATTAAAACTGTCCAGTATATGCTATCAATGAACATATAAACACTTGTATTGGTGGGTATAAAATGCTGGTTACTTAAGTATACTGGATAATAAAGCTTTTACTTTATTACAAAACCTGCACCCTAAAAGGTGGTGCATGTTTATGAAATATGCAGTTATTTAAGAGAAGACTAGGGTATAAACAATTATTAAACAAGTCTCAAAACTATAGAATACATTTAAGAGGTTTTAAGCAACAAATTGTAAGCCTGATTCCTGAATTATCATGGAATACTACTATGATTTACCAGCAATACTAACATAGAGTCAACAGCCTGCTTTGATATAATTCTCCCCAAAAGATGGCTGCCTTCCAACAAACGAGAAGCCTCATTAAATGCCATTGCATCTGCAAGGGAAAGCAAAAAAATTACATCAGACAAACAAGAAAAGATTGATCAGTGATGGTCAACAGTGTACAGTACTGTAGTGTAGTATAATAACCATCCATTTTATGGTCTACAAGTCCTTCATAGTAAACCTGGCAATCCAACTACAGACAATACCCGAATTACGAGGATCAGAAGTTACAAAAAAGTTTGTCCCCGATTTTGATTTACGGAAGAAAAATATGAAGTCAATTTTATTTTCTGCAGCATCAGAAAGATGCTAAGGTGTTGACACAGGCATCTCATGGCTACCCATAGCAGACCTGGTCAGCTTATAGACAAACTAAAAATAACATTCAGTACTGTATTGAGAGTGGTTAACCAAGCTAAAAATAAAGTAGTCGTACAGGTAGTCTTTTAGTTATCATTGCTCACAGGATCGCTAGGTGAAGCAGTGGCAGGATGGTGATTCAGGGTATTTTGACTGTGGGAATGCTGAGGTGTTTAATATTTCAGAGTTTGATATGATGTTAGTGAAACAATAAAATGCTATATGAATAAGTTTACCAATTCTTCTGCAGTTAAACATATTAAAAAATCAAATCTAGTGAAAGCAAAACATTTCAAAATGTATATACACACAATGCAGTAGACCTAAAGTTGGAGAGTCACAAATTAAAACCATATGTCTTTGCTGGGTCTCGTATCTCACAATTAGTGGCCCAGTTTCTCAGTAAGTTTAAGCACTACAATTTCTTGAAAGTATAAAATTATTACTGTGCTGCATTCATTTAACTTATTATTTATTATTGGCTTAAAGCAATATATACAAAAAATAAAATAAATAAATAAAAAAATTGCTGCATTTTAATACTACTCCGACGGCTAGAAAATCTGCTGTCCTCCTAACCTTTAGCTGTCGGGAAAATCCCAACAGCAGCAGAGGAGGTAGTTTTGCAGGCTGGATGCAGATCCTCATCTAGGGCCAGTAGCCCCTCCAGCTCCTCAATACTATTCAGTTCCACTGGAGTACTTCTCTCAGACCTATAGTCACACTTATGGGTTATAATAGGGCTATCTATGTATTCAACAATAAAGTAGTAGCCCTATAGCTTAAGGGTGTCTCGTGAAAAAGGTCTAACTTGATTTCCGAGTTATGCTGAAACAAGGCAAATCTCAAAACTTTGAAGATACAGGAAAATAGAATGTGGATGGCCCACTGAATGTGTCAAACAAATCACTGGTATAGCAAAGGGAACCTGAAATTTGAGGGAGGATTAACAAAGTTTTTCCTAAATGGACCAAATGATTGTGCAATGCTACTCTAAGCAGATGGTTATTCTAACTGCATTTGTACATTTGATTCACATGTCAACATTATCCATGTTTCATAAATACTTTTTATGGGCAATACTTACCAATTGTCATGTCTGAAATCTTGTATCAACCATCAATCAATCAGATTAGCATCCGAGGGTTGGCAACCACAGTCTAAGCATCCTCAGGTTGTTCTTACCAATCCTCGTAAGGTTTTGTATCTCTCTGGTGACCCAGTTTTTAAATTAATTCATCCATCCCAGTCTCTCCCTTCCCCTTCAACCATAAAAACCTATAAATATGAGGCACAAAGACACCATAGAAAACTTACAGCAATACCGTCTTTAAAATATAATCTCCATTAATTGGCCCCTCATAAGTAATATTTCGTCTTCCTTTAGGATGGAGACGAAGAACAGGATAGGTAGTAATTCCTGCAGAATCACAGATATTTGGCCAGTCGAAGCAATCAATTCGATGAAAGGAGGAATGACTGCCATAATCGCGAAGTTTTGGGGTAATGGCACTCATGTGTTGCAGAAGAGCATTGCTGACAGGGTCCCCTGCAACAGTAAAAATTTCTTAGGTAAGATGACCAATATCTTATTATTCCAAGGAGGTTTACAAATAATAATAATATCCACCATTTTCATGTTGTTATACAGTACAGTAAGTCCTCGCTTAACGTCGTGGTTCCGTTCCTGAAAACTGCAATGTTAACGGAAACAACATTAACAGAATCACTTTTCACCATAAGAAATATATAAAATACAAGGAGTTACGTTCCCAAGCCTCCCTTTGCCCCATGAAATACATTACATATACCGAAATTCAATGGAATTTTTATAGAAAATAGTATCACTTCCAGCACTAACCTTAACCTTGTCCGTGTTGGTCCTGATAGTACGCACTGTTGTGGGAGATAGACTTACGGCAGCAGCCATGTCCACCGCACATTCCCCTTTTTCAAAATGGTTTAAAACCTCCATTTTCGTAGCAAGGCTAATGGTCTTCCGTTGCTTCTTCACAACACTAGCATCAGTAGCACTTGATGGGTGCTTGGAAGCCATTTCAAATTGTTAGAGTACAGTATTAAGAGCAAAAACACTTAAACACGCACGAACGCTGTGGAAGCCTAGCAAAGACTGGCGACACTTGGGGACGCTGTGATGTTCCGCGAGTGAGATACAGTAGCGTGCCAAGACAAGAGAGCGTAGCGTGGCAAGTTGAGAGGGTGATGCGCCGTAAAAAGTAGTCCGTGACGATGCTAAAAACGACGTTATATCGAGTCGTCAGGATGTTAACCGAATTATTGGTATCTAAAGAGTAGCGACGTTATAACGAAACAACGTTATCGGGGGCAACGTTAAACGAGGTCTTACTGGACTGTACTTTATATGTATCTCTTCATAACAGGCTGACCAATTTTAACTTGTCCATGTATGTGAATAAAATATTTTATAAACAGGGTGGAAGATGTTAAATGGCTGTAGTACTATCCACTTTTCAAACAAGCAAAACTAACCAACCAAACTCAAACTACCCAACCTTATACATTACTATAACTTAACTAAAATATATTCCAAGATTATAAAGTTGGGATTAGGTTTGGTTGGCTCATTTCACCTTTTTTAAAACTATGGGACTTAAAATTTTTACCAAATATGGAATTAGGAAAATAAATAATTCAAACTTTCAGATATTATGGTATAGAACTCAACGGGTACAAAATTTCTAATATGAACTTATTAGAGAAAACGACAATCAGTTGGTTAATATCAACTGCTATATTGTCCTTCACTATGACTTTCCATTAATCATTTAAAGCTTTATTCATTACTCCTTAAAAATAAAAATAAGACTACTTATTGTACAATCCTTACAATGAAGATAGAAGGCAATGACAGAGAGGGTGTTGGTACTGAGGGCAGCAGAGTAGGGTCCAGGTCCTGCCAGGGGAACAACACTGGAAAAGGTATCCTCTTTCACCATGTCCAGCACCACCTCATCATCTTGCTGTAGCTCCTCTGAGGAAATGGATTACATATGTTTAATAAGGGTATGGAATTACCACAGTATGGATGCTGTTGAATGTAGAAAGATTAATATTTAAGGACAGTAGTCTAACTAGCTACCACATAAATAATATCTATGTTAGAAAATTATTCTTTACCTCAAGAACAAAGGAAATTTGGTGGAGGAACAGCATTTTCCCTACCTTTTCTGCAAAGATGACACTGTTGTTGCCTGCATGAGAAGACTGTCACCACCTTTGTTTATATGAGCACTGGAAGGTGTCATCATTGTCTGGACATTCCATGGATATTAATAACACTTTTAACTTTTAACCTCTTTGCCACTGATGAGCTCATTAGCCGCTTGAGCAGTCGGTCACCTCGACTACTGTCCTTAAATATTACACTAAATTGATTCTGAAAAACTTTTTTATTTCCTTTTAGATTTTCACAAAAGCTTCTGCTTTAATGTTGTGTAAATCCAGTGGGGAAGAAATTAAAAAATAAAATATGTAAACTGTCTTAGGAAAAGGGTAATTAGGCTTTGGCCAAAGCACCTTCAACATTTTGACAAAACCATCATAGAAATATGCCTCATTTTAATAAGAACAACTCATTGACTACTGCCAGAATTTCATATCTACTGCTCTGTTATTAACTCCTGATATTATTAAGTGATGGTTGTTTTCATTTGCTTAAGTGCAAAAAGAGAAGGCCAGAGCCTACTTCAGTATTTCCAAATTATATTAAGTTTTCTTGCAACCCCCCGCCCTATATTTCCAGACTATATATTAAAACAGTGCAATTTTTGAAGAAATGAGAATTAACCTCCCCATTAGCCAGAATGGGATTTTGAGCCTTCCGGGAACTCTCTATCCATTCTGGGCATGAGAATGAGTTTCTGAGGATGAAATCATGTGCATTTTTCAGAATAATTTCTCCGTTCTGGGCTTGGGACCAAATATTCTGAGAGTTCCTAGAGATTGCATCATGCTCCGACGTGTCCCCACATTCTGGCAATGTGGGTTAACTGCTTGGGTAGCTTAAGTCATAGGCTAACATGCCTAGTTCATATTCTGCTGCCATTGTACTTGTTTTTGCAAACAAATTGTATTGTGCAGTACTGTACATAATCATACAGTACTAGGATGTAAGCAGCCGAAACTAGTGTTAAAGTATGTATAATATGCATACCGGTACACTGTCTACTCTGCTGAATGCACAGTGCAGTATACATAACTGTAATCACTTTTTAGGTCTTCAACACTATTCATGGGTGATTGCGTCCTGGCACAGAAAAGTACAACAGTGAATGAGGGAACAACCTTGTACAATGATAGCAGAATATGAACTAAGTACCCAAGTTACCCAAGCAGCTAGCCCACCCACGCAATGGAACATGCAGAAGCATTGGAGCATGATACAATCTCTTGGAACTCCCTGAAAATTTGTTCCTATGCCTGGTGAGATTTTCTCGGAATTTCATCCTCGAAAACTCGTTCCCATGCCCGAAATGGAGAGTTTTCCCAGAAGGCTCAAAATCCATTCCAGCAAATAAAGCGTTCCAGGGACCGGAGATTCCGGCTAAAGCGGAGATTACTTTGTTTTCTTGATAAAGATTATATTCCTAGTTTTGAACTATGCACTTGCACCTCTGTTCTGTCAATGACGATTATAGTACAGTCAGGATATTATATTTAATCATGTAGATATAACAAAATTCACTAGTGGGATAATGAGTACAAGTCACCAGAAAATGTGGAAATACATGGGAGACATACCCTGTGCTTGGACAGGCAGATAACCTTGCTCCTCTTTAGTGAGTGGTACCTGCTGTAACATTGCTGTCAACTGTTCGTTTACCCACTCTAGTGCATCATCGTAGTCATTCAGCAACGCTGCACTTTCCTGTAATATGTAAGATTAAGTGAAAATGTTGATCACAATTTTTTTCCTCTTTCAAACATTTTCTTGCTTAACACAGTGTGACAAGAAAATGGAACTAACACACATTTTCCTTTCATTCACTGTTAGTCATTCATTCATTCTTACTATAGGTGGTGTAAAAATGTATTCTATTATAGCACAAGCAAATAATTTGGTGGATCCATATAAAACTTTCAAGTACGTACAGTACCAGCAATAAAAAGCTTATCAAAACTCACAAATACTGTATGCATGGTATGTAAACAACAATAAATACTTGTGAAAAGTTCCAGTTGGAAAGTGTTCAATAGGACACTTTAAACCCCGTGAGGAAAGGCTTGTAGAGGATAGTGTACAATTAGGGTATAGTAGATGAAGAATTGTAATTAGGGTTAAGTAAAGTGGTGGGTAAACTGCAGCCCATCAAGTTTGAACACACCCAGGGATATTTTATTCATTATGTAGGACTCTTACAATAAATGTGCTGATTTCATCATGTAATATCTGGGTTGTATTACATGTATTTAAGCTTACTCACATGGTCATTGTTAGTGCACATGTCATATTTCAAACTTGTAGACCACTGAGATGAAGGAGGGCCACTCAGGTGACACGCTGATATGGAGGTCCGCATCACTAGCCTAGGTAGCCCATCACTGGTTTAGTTTGTGCATTACTATACATGGGGAGTGTAGGGAGGGTATGATAGTTTAGCAGTAAAGGTGTAGGGAGGGTGTGATAGCACAAGAGTAAGGTAGAGGTGTGAGAAGAGTTTGGTATGTAAATTTAAGGTGTAGTTATGACAAAGGTGTGGTAGAGCCAATCTAGATTATCAGGAGGGTAGTGGTATTATTACACTAGGGAGAACAGTAACTGGAAAAAGAATGCTCACCTGTCCAGGCTGGAGGAAGGCAAGTGCAGGAGCAGTGATGGTGTTTCGGTTCAGATGCAGCTTGCTGAGGGCAGCATCACTCACTAAATCTCTGTCACAACCAAGATGTGGAAGAAACAAATAGATATTTGATTATCAGAAAAACAATAAAGAAAAATAAATTTGAATTACTCTTCAATAATCAAGTTTTAGGAGATGTGTGAAGGGTTCAGTTTTGCAAAAGACCCTGGGTCACAGGATGGACTTTATGATAAGAGAACATTCTTTTGTACTGCACAGGTTCTATTCAGAGACATGTGACTTTTTGGATCAGGTGATACAGGCATTCATGACATGACAAAGCTTGGGTGATATGACAATGTTTTAGTGATTACTGTACTGTATTAAGAATCAAAAAAAGGAAAGCAGTACTGTACTAGCAATGTGACAAGCTCATAAGATGTAACTGGGCTTAAGTGCAATCTAAGTTCTTTGTGGTGTATATGTTTTGTGATATTGAAGGCTTGATGACGAAACTTACAAGTTCACAGTAATAGTGGCAATGGATCCATGAAGCAACTGGGCCAGATGGGGTGCAAGGCTTCTGACACGGCTTTGAGAAGAGGTATCATATAACAGCAGCACCCATGGTAAACCTGTCTCATCATATGGAGTCACAACTTCTGAAGTAATTGGTGACACTGCCAGTTCATGCTGTGAAAAAAAAATTAACAGCACATTAGCTTTTCATGCCCATTACAAACTTCCACTGGATGTTCCTCCCAAAGTTCTCTAATAAAGACTTCATATCTATTTCAGTGTCTTGTAGATGCCAAGACATTGTATTTCAACCTGACTGCATATTCCTTTATGTGTAACATTTGAAGGATATATCATTGCCCAATTTGTCTCTCTGCCACCAGTATAGTACAGTGCTTGCATTAACCTAAAAACAGTAGTGCAGTGCAGTTTTAGTGCAGTTTCAAATTTACTGTACACGGTCCAATTAACTGTGACCCTCCATTTTTTGTGAATGGTCTGGATTCACTTATAGACATTTCAACAAAGGCCCCCAGGAAGTGTGTGATACTTGATCCACACACATATCACAGGAATCCCACTGTGGGGAAGCACAAGAGAAGATGAATCAATCAAGTACTTGTGAGGAGATGGAGCCTGGATACCATTAAATCTTTTCAACTGGCCAAGTAAACTGAAGACCTTAGTTTAGTTGACAATCTATTTATGGAGTGGAGCTTGAACTTTAATGATAGAGTGCACTGACTCCTTACAGAATAAAGCCAAACACCTAACATTGTTTCTTATGCACATCTACCATCACCACTGCAGCCACCTCCACCAGCTCTGCTCCACAACTAACCATGCAAATTCCTTGAACTGACCTCAACATCAGCAATATCATATGAAGTTCATTATCATCAGCATTAAAGACCACACACAAATTTGTTGTATATATTAACTTCTTGGATGAATAAGGAGTATTATATTATGAGCCTAGAACCTATCCCCGTATTTTCCATAGGATCTTTTTAACACTGTTTCTCAAGAACATAACCAGTGTGTAATATGAGGACACTGTACTTATACAACTGTAACCTTTGTAATTCTCAACCATGTTTGCCTTTATCCTCTTCCTCACTAGCTTTCTATTGTTCCCTTTTCACACTTCCTATCTCCTCTTAATATTCCCAGATATTCTTCAACTTCTCTTTTTCCTAACCTTGCTCTTTTCTCATTTCCTCCTATCCTTCTACCTGTATGTCCCTCCTTTACCCTATATCTTAAAATTCTGCTTCCCTTCAGCCCTGTCCTTTTCTCCCCCGATCCCCTCGTCTCTTTCTCTACCCTCTTCTGTCTCGTTCCCTCACTATTTTTTCACTTCTCCAATTTGAATCCCTGCGGCTAACTTTTCATATAGTCTTTCTTAAGACTTTTATATGTGAAATCTCTATAACTGTCTGTTAGTGATAATGGAACACCACTTTCTTTCTTCACTGTAATATGTGACTGACCCAAATGGGAAGCTGGAGAGCACGGATGAAATGTAGCAGCTGTGACAAGACCATCTTGCGGCGGTAATGGCTCACCACACAATCCTTATCTGCTGCCTTATCGGCACAGTGTACAACCCACAGGGTGTTTTCTTGGTCATCTTGTTCTAGAATGGGGAAAAAATGACTACTGTAGTTATGCCTCCCACCACTCTAGAATTTCTACCCTATCTTCATATTAATGCAGTGGTTTTAATGCATTTCTATTACAATAAGATGGCAGAGATCCCATTAGTGTATATACTTTAATCTTTGCCAACCAGATATATATATATATATATATATATATATATATATATATATATATATATATATATATATATATATATATATATATATATATATATATATATATATATATATATATATATATATATATATATATATATATATATATATATATATATATATATATATATATATATATATATATATATATATATATATATATATATATATATATATATATATATATATATATATATATATATATATATATATATATATATATATATATATATATATATATATACAGTGACCCTCGTTTAACGAACACCTCGGTTAACGTAATTTCGATTAACGAACTGCCTTCCATAAGGATCTTCAATTCGGTTAACGAAAAAAATTCGCTTAACGAACTTCTTACGAACCGACCTCAACATGTTTTCGCTTGCACTGACCGGGCAACCAGCTTTAGTATCAGTCCGCCAATACATTAATCGGTTCTAGGGCTTAAATTCCTTACTATTTTTGTAAATATCAAGAAGTTTATACTATTCAATAATTTTAAAAGTTTAATATTCAATTTTTTAGTCATTTTAACAATTATTGAACAAAATTGAAGGTAAAGTGACTAGTTTAATGCGCGGCATCCAGCCTCTTAACACAGCAAACAGGCGTCAGTCTCTCTCTGTTTTCACTGGAGGTAACATCTTGCTTGAGACTCTCTTCAACTAAACGCTTTTTTTCTGTGTTTCCAAGCAAATTATTGGTCATTTTGAAATATATTTTATATATTGACAATATATAATGCAGTGCAGCGTTGATTTAAAGAAAATAATCTTGAATTAAACCAGAGAGCTAAAATTTTATGGGTGAAATGGCACCATGGGGTGACTTCTCTTCCACCCCAATGCCTTCTCTTCTTCCTTCTCCTCCACCCCCATTCTAAATCCCATCATCATCATCATCATCCAGGAGCCTTCTACATACACACCTCAAAGTAAGTGAACTTTTCTACCATTTTTGTTGAATTTAGGAAATTTTCGGTGAGCTGGAACCAATTACCCAAAAACCCATTGAAACAATGGTTTCGGTTAACGACGACCTTCTGGGCAGTTTGAGTTAGATTAACGAACCACATATATATATATATATATATATATATATATATATATATATATATATATATATATATATATATATATATATATATATATATATATATATATATATATATATATATATATATATATATATATATATATATATATATATATACAGTATATATATATATATATATATATATATATATATATATATATATATATATATATATATATATATATACAGTATATATATATATATATATATATATATATATATATATATATATATATATATATATATATATATATATATATATATATATATATATATATATATATATATATGTGTGTGTGTGTGTGTGTGTGAGTGTGCGTGTTGACGTGGATGTCCCTGTAGAACACATTACATTAGTAGGAAGCAACACGAACTCAATGTTCAGCACTTTGGCTAATGATGATAAACACTCATTTGTAATTCATCAATATAAATACAGATACAAAAGTTATGGTGTGGATTTGACCTTTGAACTCCAACACTAAAATTAACTATTGAATCTACGTGATGGCACTGAGTGTGAGCTCATTCAAGACCAAACATGACAAACACTAGCAAAGGTACAAATACGTTCTGGAACCAATATACATTACTTGGTAATAGTGTGTAACAGAGACGTGACCAACCACCCATGCAGCTACCAAGCCAATTAGTGGCAAAGAGGATACATATTCATATCAGGTTTCACCTAAGCACATCAAGCATATCATCTACATAAAATCTTGACCTTTGATCTTGACATGTATCACAAAAACTTTGATGTTTTACACTTAACTTTATGATACAAACCCATATGAAGGTTTATTAATATGCTGCATTGTACCTGTACCGACAAAAGTTATTTTATGTGCAATGTTTTGACCTTTAAAACTCAGCAGTGGCCTAGACCTTTAATATGATCATTTGAATTAAGTGTTCATTATTTTGTCTAGTGATATTAAATATTCTTAAATTTAATGAAAACATCTTGATACAAACATCACACTCTGGACAATATTTTGATCTTTGACATTGAGAGCAGAATGTGGCAATCATGACTTTGTCTAATGATGACACATATCCTTGTGAAGTGTTGTTTAAATTTGTGTCGATACTGTACAAACATTATGCTCCAGACAATGTTGATCTTTGACTTTCGGCTGTTACCTAGATGTTACTGAGCCATAACACCCAGACAATATGTGGATCTGTCAACAAAATTGAAACTACATACTGTAATGTACTGTATAACTAGCTACATGTAATTAATCGCTGACCATCTGTGGCTCTGAAATACCAGTACTGTACAATATATCAAATTGTAATATCCACAATATTTGATCAGTAAATGATGTTTAATCTGTCTTCCATGGTTAAAGCCAACCTCATTAAAACTAGAAAAAAGTTCTAATGACCATGACTCACCACTTGAGTGTGGATTGGAGAGACCAAGGGTGCCGGCAGTGTAGGTAGTAATGGCAAAAACAAAGATATCCTGGTGGGCATAGGCCATCTCCAAGAACATCCTGTGTTCTGAAGAATATAGGCACATGTTAAGTGAGGCTTAATTAGGAAAATTATTGTACTTTATTTAGAGAATAATACAATACCAAATATTATGCCATACAGCCATTTACATGCAGTATATCTGATATTCACATAATGTAATTGGTACAGTAGATGCAAACATTGAAATTAACTTGTCTGAAATTACAGACAAAACCATTCTCTCTTTCCTTGACACACAAATATTACCGTAAGTGCCTAGGGTGTGAAGGAAGGAGAATATAATATCACAGCGGCCACGGCACCTAGCCTCAAGGTCCCTCCTTTCTCCTGCCGTCTGCAGGATGGGCACAGCATTGATAAGGGCCAAGCTGTGATAGGAAACAAGGCTAAATTAGAATTGTATGTAAATCTATGTTAATGAGAAAGGCAGTCCAAATGAGGTATACAAATTAACAAACACAGAATATGTGAGGTTACATGATTTTTGAGAACCAGGAAGTGGCTATTTTATATACAGTGATCCCTCGGTTAACGAATTACCTTCCATAAGATTCTTCACTTCCGTTAACGAGCAATCCCTCGGTTAACGAATTCCTTACGAGCGCCCCCTCAACATGTTTTCGCTTGCTCACTAGCTGTCGTATTAGTCCGCCAGTACAGTAATCGGTTCTAGGGCTTAAATTCCTTACCATTTTAGCAAATATCAAGAAGGTTGTACTATTCAATCATTTTAAAAGTTTTATATTAAATTTTTAGTCATTTTAACAATTATTGAACATAATTGACGTACAGGAAACTAGTTTTATGCGCGCCAAACAGCCACTCAACACACCAAGCTTGGCGTCAGTTTGTTTACAGGTTCAGAGGAAGGAACATCTTGTTTGAGACTCTTCAACATAAATGCTTTTTTCTGTGTTTTCAGTCAAATTATTGGTCATTTTGAACTATATTTATGGGTGAAATGGCGGCATGGGGTGACTTCTCTTCCACCCCAATGACTTCTCTTCTCCCTTCTCCTCCACCCCCATTCTAATTCCCATCATCATCAACCAGGAGCCTTCTACATGCACACCTCAAAGTAAGTGTACTTTACGCATTTATTTTTCGTTTGTATGTAATTTTCGGTGAGCTGAAACCAATTACCCAAAAACCCATTGAAACAATGGTTTCGGTTAACGAATTTTTCGGTTAACAAGCAACCTTCTGGAACGAATTGTGCTCATTAACCGAAGGACCACTGTACAACACATGATTTTGTTTCCAGCTAAGAAGTATGTAGTAACATTATTCAAGTTGGCTGCTCTCATGGGAATAAAACCCACTACTACTACCTGTACTATAGTTCCTCTCTAGACACATATACGTAACCAGTACTGAGTGCATGGATATGAGCACACACACTGACATAGATTGTTCTTCCTATTTTTTACAGTTAAACTAATTACCAAGACAAAGTTTTCAAACTGATAATTCTATCTGATCCCTTTGATTTTTTTGTTTTTCAGCTTTACATTTATTAGTTCAGTAAAATATGGGTATTTCCCAACTTAGGAAAGGGTTCTGTTCCCGAGCATGAGCATGGGGGAAAACGGGGGAGGGTACTATAAATTTTCCTAGACTCCTCTTATAAATGCTGAGGAGGGAAGGAGGATATTGTATCAAATTGCTCAAAACACACTAAAATACTGGTAATACATACTGTAAGGCAGAAGCTACAATGGCATTGTTATTGAACAAAGTATCCAGGGGGAAAGCAATCTTCTCCTGACCATCCCGGAAACCATATGCAAACCGGTTGACTTTATCTGGCATACAGTAAGCAGCCACACTGTACTGGGCACAGTCCACCTGCAGGGTGTAATTCATGGATGTGCTACATTGTCTATAAAGTACTTTAATATATAAGTGAGAAAGAATCTGGAAAAATACCTGCCATTATTATACAGTAGTACACATGGTTTCAGACAAAATCATACTTTAGTAATGAGTTTGATGTTTTCCAAGACTTAATTAGAGTACCACTATGCACATACCTCTACAAATAATAACTTATTACAGCTAAATAGCATGTGCAGTATAATACGGCATTCCAAAATTATACAGACAGAGAAAACAGAATTGTGAGGGTATGAACACTGACCATAGCAAGCAGCACATGGTACTGCATCAGGTGTTGGGCTGACTTTCTATACTCTGACAAGAATCTTGACAAAGCCTCAGATCCACCTGATCAATAAATATTTTTATTATTATTATTCATCCTGATAATATGTTCATATAAATCAATCTGGACTTGAAATTAACTGTCATGGATAGTGTGGAATTTGATATGTTAGTTTGTAAGACTCGGAATGATGTTCATATCTCACTTGATGTACAGCCATTATATTACTGACTCAATAACTGACATTCTAACATCCACAAATACAGGTTGGATAAAATAATGGTTCCAATGCACTGCTTTGATAGTTGATGTCCAAGTTATCCTAAAGTTACAACATTTAGAGCATACTATGCCTCTTGTAGCTTCCTTTTGAACTTTAAGGGACTGACTGGCTCAGTTCTCCTAAACCTAGAGCATTGTCTCATCCATATACCGTATGTTTATTCTTCATTTATTTACCCAAGTGTAAGAGGAAAATCAAAGTACAGTATACAATACTGTACAGTGCTACCAATACCTCAAAATATTCAAACATCAAGTAAAGTACAGCACAGACGTACAATATTCTTTTGACAAGTCTCTTCTACTAAATCTAACACCAGGGTCACTTTTTTGGATATGAATGCAAATGGCGAAAATTTTGATGTTAGACAACTTAAGCCAGCATCAATTTCTTTCATAATTGATTTAAAACATTTAGCCTGCACTTTTCATTAGAAGAGGTCATCAAATACTTTGGTAGTATCCTACAAATAAACTTGGTAATCCTGGAGCAGATGACTAGCACCAGAACGCATTGTTTGATTTCGATAATTTTTCCACAGATGTTCTGTGGATAATGGTAAATAATAAAAATGATACGACAATGCACAGACTCCAATAGAACTTCATTTAACCAACTAAAGTAAGCTACCTAACCTTACTTAACTTCCCAGCCTGGTGGGATTCATCCTTTCACCAAATTTAACAGAAAGTATTGTACAAGTACAGTACAGTACAGTACTGTACTGTACTTTGGTATCTGATGCCAATAAGAGCAATTTTCTTGAAGCAGCATGGTGTAATTTTGCCTTTTCTTGGGGACGTGAGAGTAAACTCGGATGAAGCAACCCGCCGGGTGAGCATAAACAAAGAGCAGACGACAACACACACCAATATGGTACATTTTTCTGTTGAATATTTATAGTAAATAATTAATTTCTTCCCATACAAAGGCATCATTTTAGCGTCATATGATGAGTTCTTTTACTGCGTTTTACCCCACAATGATCACAGGGAAAAAATAAATACGTCTAATTAAAATAAAGGTACAGGATATTTTAGTTTCGGTCATCTTGCGATTTAACCCCCACCAGAAAGGGGAGAGGGGTGGTCTGGGAGGACAAAGCCGCCCCCTCCCCCCAGTTAGGTTACCGGCAGATATAGTTCTGGGTTCTGTGGCTAGGTTAGATTAGTTTAAGTTACATTAGGTTGGATATCTAAATACTGTACAGGGATGACTGACACTAAAATTTTACCCAAATATAAAGTTGTATAATTTTTGTTACTTACTATCATCCAAAGAACATGTGGAAAAAAGGAACAAGTTCGAACAACTCCTTCTGGTGTTAACCATCTGTTCCATTATTACCATTAGCTTTACTCAAATTTCTTTAAAGGGCTTTTATGGTTGATTTTTCAACAGCTTCTTTGAATCTTCCGTCAACTTAGTTTCCTGAGAAGCAATAGAAGTTTTTTGCACGTTTCTATCTTGTTAAGTTAGTGGTGAAATATATAAATAAAATAAATAAGAATTTAATTGCCAAGGACCTAATGGCGCTAATTCAAACTTACCATCTTTATAGAAGTACACGATGACAATGGGACCATTTTCAATGAACTCTTCAAAGTCTCCTGATTGTTTGAGGATCTTGACAGCACTTTCAGCGTCCCTGCCTTCCTTGGCAGTCCACCCAACCTCCTTCCATTTGTTGTTCATGTAGTCTTCCTCAATACTCTCAGCATGTATTAATGATTCTTTCCGATTTATACCTTCAAGATCATATGTTTCAGGTGAAGTATTTCCAGCAAGCATCCTTCCTAATTCTGTTAATGGCACCCGATTCTTAGTCCTGGTGACTCCTTCCTGGTCAGCAGCAACACCAGACTGCCTGGATTTTTCTAGTATGCTACAAGCCTCATCTGACTGGTCACAAACAGGGTCCTCAGTAATGGAGCTATGAAAATGGATATCACTCTCCTGGGAGGGGGTAGGTCCATAATGTGGATGGGGATTTGTTTTTTGATCAGGAACGTGAGGGTTGTGACTAATTCTTTCAGTATGTTGGCTGGCATCTGTACACACTTCTACCACCAACCCCAAGGATAAACCCAGGATTGATATCAAAAGTCTCATTTCATCTGAAAAAAACAACTACTGTATATATACGTAAATATTAATGAAACAAAGGTCAATTTATAGTACAGGACATATTCAACATTGGGTTTATTGTTGTGGGTAATCACAAGTTCAGATAAAATCAAGACGATTTTCATCTATGACACATTTGGCGCATAACCAAGATATCAGGAGTTGAAAATCAGAAAACTACTAGAAAAGCCATTATTGTATAGCATTTGTTGCCACAGGCCAACCGGCCTATTGCAGACTCCTTATTTGATTATGTAACCGAATTTTGTTTATTTTTCTTTACAAAATTATAGGCTACAGTATTAGTTCACACGCTTCAGTGACACCAACCCTGCAATTGTGTGTAAATGAGGTAGAAAGTCAGATAAGCAACCTGGGACTTGGTCACTACCATAAATTATCTTTCCTATTTTGAATGCAAATAAAATATAAATAAATAATAATAACAAATACTGTATGCACTTTGTACACGGTTTCATCTTACAATTAAACCGATTTTCGTGACTAGTCATCCAAGAGCACCACAGTGATGGTAACCACTCAATTTTAGACCACGGGAGCCACACACATTGGTGGTTATCACCATCATTATTTCTGTGGGGGTGTGAGATAAACTTCACAATTACCGTTGCTTCTTTGGGATAATTATACCAAAGAAACAGTATTGTGTATTGCAAATATGGGTGTTGATGAATCTTCAACAATTATGCGACCCTCCACTGCTGAAGGTATTCATTCTAGGTTAGGCTGGTTTTTGAGTTGAGCAATGTGTTTTTGGATACTGGTTAAAAATACAAATTTACCCACATATGTAATGTATATCACGAAATTTACTGATGCTTCTACTCACACACGAAGCGTCTCTGAAATGGTCTCCTGGTAAGTTATTCAGTGCACGAAAAAAATAAAAATTTAGTATTGTGTATCCAAGAATAAACTGGAAAATAGGAAAGCAGGAAGCACTGACTAACCTGTTGGCTCTGCTCTCGTTCCGTCATTGAGGACTTTTGTAGACTGGCGAGGCAGGCGGGTGGCGACATTGATCGGGCAGTTGTCGTACTGCTGGAAATATCGCTTGTGCCTACCATACATCTTAATCAAAATCTTGATATTCGTTAAAATATTACTGTGTACTATAACTATACAGTGTAGTTATAGTACTTCAAAGACTATTTATCATAGACAAGATCTGTTTATGCCTCTGAATGACCTGAGGACTTAAACTCATATTAGCTACTGATACTCAGAGTTATTTTAATATAAATATGTTAAACTAAAACAAATGAGTTACACTACCTGTATATAATATTATATGCGCAACCAGAAATCTATTAGCAGGGTGTCATCCTCCATAAGGCTCTAAAGAGTCTAAATTACCCCACGAAAATTTTTTCATGGTGGGCGTAATAAATCGTAAGACTAACTTTTACGTGTGGATACAATAAACATAATTTCCCAGTCATGTGTTCTATTTTCCACCTCAAACAATTTTTTTTTTCACCCATACATAATTTTCCACCCAGCGATCGTCTTGCTAGATCTGCAGTAAATGACATACCTTATTTATGCAGCGGTGCCACATTGCATACAATATTCATTTAGAAATATGGAAAACTTGATAATTAAGCTAATAACTCAGTTAAAATGTGTTTTAGTGCTATCTAACTTTAATAATAAATTTTAGTGGTTAATTGAAGCTATAAAGAATAGTCGATTCCTGACAAAATAAGAGGCTACAAATTAAATTTAAGTTTGACAGTTAAAAGGTCGTGTGGGTGGTGGTTGTCACGGCAACGGGTACGCGTGGGTGTTCCAGGGATTCACAATCCCAAAGTCTAATTATATCACAATCCTTTGTAAGATTATTTCTCGTAACTGATGATTTCAAAATGCTACAAATTCCCATTTTTGCAATGTCAGTTCTAAATTGCATGCAGGGGATATAGATAAAGTTCTTATAATATCCGAGCAGGATAGGACTCGGAGCAACGGATTCAAGTTGGATAAGTTTAGGTTTAGGAGGGAGATAGGAAGGAACTGGTTCACAAATAGGGTGGTGGACCAAGCTTAGCAACTTTGTAGTAAGTGCGGGAACTCTGGAAAGTTTCAAAAGGAGGCTAGATAGATTCATGGATGATACAGTGGTAGTAACTCTCGACAGGAGCTGCCAGGCACAGGCCAACCGGCCTATTGCAGACTCCTTATTTTCTTATGTTCTTCTTATGTTCTTATATCAATTTTCGTTGAACCTGTGCAAGGCATTTATTGAACTTGATGCTGACATTCATCTGTGGAAACTGAAATTTAGTATCTGAAGTATTCTTTGAAAAAGTACACAAAGGGGAATGTACCAAGTGGGGTTACATGACAGAAAATTTATGTGGACACCCGTCAATGCAACTTTTTTTGTTCACATTTTCTCCGAGAAGCAGTAAAGCTTCATGATAATTTTTTTTTTCTTCAAATTAATTTATTAACTATTATCTATTTTACTAATGGTGTAATATTAAGCATAATATTTGCATAATTATTTGTAATTACTCTTTTAATTAATCTCTCCACACAACTACTGACTCCCTAATCTCCTAAGTTTTACTTTAATATTTTTTGTGAGGGATTACCCTCGAAGATTAAATATGCAATCAAAATCTTGTTCTGCATCACATATGCGCGTTACTAAACAGTGGCGTATATAAGTTTCTGGAAAGGGGGGAGCAAGACTTGAAGGGACATTAATTTATTTCCATTCATTAGTGTAAGCAGGGGGCGAGCGTGGCGAGCCCATACAGGCGGGGGAGGGGGCTTACGTTACCTCGCAAACGACCTAGAAGTTCTAGAACCAAGATATTTAATATGTAGGGGGTCTGCACTAGCGTAGCTAGGGGGGGGCGGTCCGCCCCGGGCGGCACTTTTGGGGGGCGGCACTTTTGGGTCTGCTCATCACCCATATCTGCAGCTACTGGAGACGTTAATCCATCCCTTTGTATCGGCGGCAAGTTAATCCTTGTCGTGTCTGACCTAACACCTGACCCACATCATCACGGCCACGTCATGAGCTACACCCTTGCTATGCGCCCCCCCCCCGGCCACACACACAACCTGTAACCTGTTGAGGATTAAGGAAACAACTTCAAACAAGTACGCCAGTGAGCACATGTGGTGTGGGTCAGGTGTTAGGTCAGACACGACGAGGATTAACTTGCCGCCGATACAAAGGGAAGGATTAACGTCTCCAGTAGCTGCAAAACCATGCAGTCTCGGGTCATAACAGTTCATGTACAGCCGACCAATCCACCAGTTACAAGCAATTCACTTCAGTTCTGCACAAGTCTCCATCGTGACAAGACGAGGGGAGGCTAGACGACTTTTAAGTTCTCTTGTGTTTTCGATCCAGTTATTTACTTCGTTGGAAGACATAATACTATAAGGTAAGAAATATTAAAGTATTGGTTAAAAAATATTGATGTGACTTTTGCTGCGGTACTGAGATTAAATATTAAGATTTTGTTTCACAGCATTGCGATTTTATACTAAGACACTATCCTCACTGGGGTACAGACAAAAGCCCCCCCGACAAAAGCCACTAAAGTCTTCTCGATGAGTTACTCCAGACAAAAAGTTTTCCCTACTATCGTGGCTTTTGGCCTGATAAACAGTAAGTGGGCTTTCTGGGCAAGTTATAATAGCAATTAAATAGTTGAGGTAAAATATACTCGTTCTTCTCTGTGGTTAATTTTGGCTGGTTAGGTTAGGGTTTAGGGTTGTTAGGTTAGTTATCAGACGTGCCACCCCGATCAAAGTAGGGGCTTTTGTCTGGGTGGCTTTCGTCGGGGGGCTTATGTCAGACATCCATTTTCACTCGTATTCTGAGTCTGTAATTTTAGGTTAAGTTGCTACTTTTTACATTTCCATTGTATTACATTGATACTAGTGTTTATTATGCCGTGATTATAGACTTCATAATCAATAAAAGATAACGGTGCAGTACAATTGTTTTATGTAACGGATTCCTTAACCTAATTTAAAATAATATATATATATATATATATATATATATATATATATATATATATATATATATATATATATATATATATATATATATATATATATATATATATATGCATGCAGAAATCTCACAT